GTATAGGAGGGGAGGGATGGGAGGGATTTTGGGGGTGTGTGTTTTGTGTTTTTGTAAGTCTGTTCTTTTTTGTGGTTTGTTAAAAATTTTTTATAAAAAGACCTTGATCAAAAAAAAAGTATTTTTTTCATTTGACTCAGCAGCTGTTTCATGGACATATTCATTCATTGCCTGAAAAGCTTTTAGAAGTCTTGGAGTTAATTACTAATATTTGTATTTTGAAGCTGAAGATGTGAACAAAAATAAGTAAAAGTGAACAAAACAAGCCAGAGGGACAGCTGGGAACATCTGGAGTGAATAAAAAAATATTATTAGCCGGGTTTGTTCTGAGAAAGAAAAGCTGGGACTGAGTTCAGGAACATAAAAGGACGCTGATGAAAGAAATCAATACGAGAGTCAGTGAATATTAAAGAAGAAAACCTTCACGATGCCCGGCGAGGTGAAAAAGACTTTTCATTAAGTGAGTATATCATTAACTACATCTGGTGTAAAAAAGATTTATTCATCAAGTTTATTAGAAAGCACAAAGTGAAACAGAAAGGCCAGAGTGAATTGTGATGAGACAAGATGAATGTATTATTTGCAGTATGAGGCAGAAAGCAGCCTGAGCCAACAGCAAACASAGCGGCTCCATCCATCCACAGCATCATCAGTGAGGAACATGAAGCCGTGTGCTCACATGTTTATGTATAAATGATATTTATACATAAAAAACAGCTGAATGACTCCTAAAGAGTCTGCTGAGGTTCATCCAAACACAGCAGGGCCACCGTCACACACCTGATCTCAGCTCATTTATCCTCTGCTTCAGTAGTTTCATAAAAAGCTTCAAACTTATTCATTGTTAATGCCCTGTTTGTCACATCAAACACATTAAACCGACTCAGCTGCTGGAGCTGATTGTTTCCTGTGTTTTGAAGCCAAAAAACAAACCTGGAGTTTATCCAGGAGGACCAGGGCTGCCCCTAGAAAATCTGGGGCCCTTACAGGCCAGACTTCAGTTTTCTAAATCTCACTGTCAGTGAAGAAGAGGACGAACGAGYACGAAAACGAGGAGGAAAAGAGGTAAAATACTGTTTAGCATGAATGCTTGTATTAAAGCGGGACAAAAGGAGAAACTAACGACACAGAGGTAACATGTTAGGTCTGTTTGTTGGGAAAATGCATTTCACATTTGCACATGATAGAAGGAAACAGAACCTCACGTCCCAGCACAATAAAAGCAATATACTTGTAACATGCTAAAAACGAGGTAAGATCTGTATGATCTTCAACAGGATGGCAACATAACTTAAAGTGTTCTTTAAGTCAATTGTTGAAAATTCATTTTTTTCATATTGCAACGGACACATGGTTAGAAAACATCCCAATGTCAGTTTTTTCCAATATCACGCAGCCCTAATTCACATACCGAACTAAATAGCTTTATCTTTGATGTTAGTTTTATCTTTAGAAGAAATATCTAACAATATAATCCATTTGAAACAGAATACCAGAAGTCTCCCTCATACCTGCCAACATCTGCTGACAGCAAAGAGGAACACCTGCTCATGTTAACGAGAAGCTGTGGAGTGAAGCAGCTCTAGGCCAGTGGTTCCCAAACTTTTTATCTTCTGACCCACAAAATATCCATGGCAAAAACTTGTGACCCCAAATATTACTGGTCTGAGTACACAAACTTTGTTAATAACCCCAAAAACACAGGCTTTTTGACAATCTAAACAG